CCACAGCTGCAGCAAATAAAACAGAGGCTGTGTTTGAATTTCAGCCCTCTCCCCCTGCAAAAGGACCTGGGAGGGAGGAAGGACTTCCCATGACTATTTCCACTGGCCCAGGTCCCTGCAGGGGGAGGGAATTCTTATGGAAGAGTGACTTTCAGGTGATGCTGCTGGGCATGCTGTTGCTGAGACTTTGGTGCATCCACCATGTGCCAGTGTCTTGCACAAAGCAGTCAAACTAGTACTTTTCTTTAGGTTTCTGCAGAGCAAAACTGGGGTCTTGAGGCCACTTGGTCAGCACTCTGCCACCAGACTGTCTCTCCAGCCCCTCAACTCATAAGTGATTTTAAAGAGCTGGGTTATTCATTTTTAAGTGCATTTACAGTTAACCAACAGACAGTGTGCTAAGAACCAGAGAAAAAAAGTGAACATAACAGGCTTGAAGGGCTCCTGGCCTGGAGTGGTGGAAGTCAGAAAGGCTTTCTGGAGGAAAGGCCTTTCTGCTGAGTACAGGTGATGAGTCAGACTCCAGGCTGCAGGAAGCAGCTCAGGGAGGAGTCAGGGCTCAGAGAAGCTCTTGGCAGGGCCCTGAAGACCCATGTGGGCCCAAGTCAGCATAATGCTTGGCAGATATTGGCCAGGAAGGGGAGTAAGAAAGCCACAGGGAATGTGGAAAGGGTCCATAGTGATGGGTTTTGGCCCTAGTATAAATTGCTAAAATCAACATGATGGTCATTTAACATGGCTGAAGCCCTTTAAACAAAAGCCCATCTTTCCCAAGACCCCCTCGCCCTTCTTCTCCAACTCAGCCCAGGATACAATTTCCTTCCACCCTTCCCACCACCTCAGATACGACCCCAGTCAGCTCCCTCAGGTACATCTAAACATCCCCTTCAAATCCCTCCCCTAGCAAAAGGCTGTGAAAGCCTCAGCTTCCCTTTGTTCCAATTGAGAGAATCTCTCATCTTCCCCACATTCTCTCCATATCCTCAAAGATAATAAAGCCCTTTTCCCTTTTTCCTTCTGTCTGTTTCTCTGCTTCACTGAGAGCCTGAAAAAGCCTATCACATAGCACTCAGGGAGGGACACAGAAGAGGTCTCTCTAAGAGGGGAGGGCTTCAGCAGGGGCAGAGCTGTGGGATCCTGGGGACCAATGGAGAGGCAGTAAGGAGCCACAGGTGAGAGCGCCAGATGGAGTGACAGAGAGAGTCAGATGGATTGCATTCCCATCCTCTTTAGTCATTTGTTCATTCTTCTTTTCTTTAGACAGGGTCTTGCTATGTCATTCAGGTTGGCAGTGAACTCACTGTGTAGCCCAGGTTGGCCCCAAACTCATGGCACTCTTCCTGTCCCACCCTCCCAAGTGCTGGGATTACAGGTTTTGATTTTTTTTTTAATTGAGCAAACATGAAAACATACTCATCAGCATTAGTCATCCTGGAAATGCTTTGGAATAAAATGTTGGCAATTTCTACTAAAGCTAAACACGCAATGACATAGTGACACAGCAGTTCCACCCCTGACCAGTAAGAGGGACTTCCACATCTGCCAAAGACACCCACAGACATGTTTCTCCCAGCAGCAGTGCATGTAGATCCCAGCATACCTGAGGAGGAGCAGAGGAAGGCAGTCGGGTGATTGTGCCTACTTCATGATGGTCAGGAGTGGGCAAAATGAGTAGTATGTGGACTATAGACAGGATGGTGCTCAGCTTTGGGTCATGTTGGTTTGGTTTTGTCTTGGTTCTTTATTTTATTCATGTATTTAGTACAGGATCTACAGGGTCTCACTACGTAGATCAGACTCAAAGTGATTCTCCTGTTTTCAGCCTCCCAAGCACTGGGATTACAGGGAAACGCCTCCACACCCAGGCTCAGTTGCTGTCTCAGCCGCTGTCTCAGTGCGCCCCAACAGCGAGGCCAGCACAGCACACCAGGGATTGAACTCCAGCCACTGCGCTCTGCCTGAGCAGGTGCTTTTGTCTGCTGAGCTATCTGGCCGACACCTTCTCTTGGTTCTTGGGGGGGGCTTTCTTTTGGTTTGTAGGTCCCATCCTCTTTGGTATAAGATCTCACTGTGCAGTTTAGGCTGGCTTGAACTCACTATGTTGCCCTGTTTGGCCTGGAACCCAAGGTGTTTCTTTTGCTTAAGATTCCTAGTTATAGGCTAGGGTCATAGGCGTGCAGTACCACAGCTTTGAGTTTTATTTATTTATCTATTTATTTATTCGGTTTTTGGCCAGTTGGCTTTGTTTTTTGAGACAGGGTCTCGCTATGTAATTCAGGCTGGGCTAGAACTCACAGAGATCTTGCCTCAGCCTCATGAGTGCAGGGATTACAGGAGTAACCACTGTGCCTCTGCTCACTTCTGGCAGACACTGAGGAGAAAAGTGAGCAAGAGTATCCCAAAGGACATGGAAATGGCGTTTCACTCAATCTGGTGGTAGTTACATGTGTTTTTTAAAAAACATATTCATATACACTCATACACAAACAAGTATGTACATACACACAAGTGTATGTATACATACATAGTGCATACATATACAAGTATATTTTAAAATTCATTGAGCCTGCAATTTAAGGTGACTATCATTTCCCTATGAATTTACATCTCATTTAAAGATTTTTGCAATAAAATATAAGTGGGCATGGTGGTGCATGCTATAACCCTCAGGCTGAGGCATCACAAGTTCAAGACCAGCCTTAGCAGCTTAGCAATTTGTGGTGACTCTGTCTCAAAATAAAGCATAAAAGACTAGAGATATAACTCCATGCTCTGGTTTCAATTCTCACTACCACAAAGACAAATAAGAAGGGCTTGGAATGTAGATCAGTGCTAGAGTGCTTGCGTACCATGTTTTGAGACCCTGAGTTTAATCCACAGTACTACAATAACTAAATATATAAGATAAATAGATTTACTGATGGCTTACTGTGTACCAGATAACACATTAGGGAAACATTAGGAGAAAGTATCCCTGTTGTCTCATGGAAGAAGTGGAGCTGGGGATAAGCTCAGTGGGAGAGCACTAGCCTAATGTGTTATAGGCTCTGGTTCCCAGTAACACACACACACACACACACACACACACACACACACACACACGTGGACGGTAGAGCCCAGCATGGTGGCACATGCCTATAACCCAGCACTTGAGAGGCTGAGGCTGAAGTATTGCTGCGAGTTCAAGGCCAGCCTGGACTACATCATAATTTGAGGACCAGCCTGAACTACATAGTGAATCCCTGTCTCAAAACAAACAAGCAAATAAATAAATGAAGATAAAAACAGGGTCTGGGGAGATGGCTCAGTAGAATAAGCGCTTCCACGGCAAGCGCAAGGGCCTGAGTTCAATCCCTGGTTCCACTAAGAAAAAAAAGATAAAAACAAAAGTGGATGGTAGACAAAACAGATAAGCCTACCATTTTCCAGGAGCAGAAATGAGGGATTAGAAAGATGAACTCATTTGCTACAGACCTCTCTCCTGGGGTCTGGCAGAAATGCAGCTCATTGCTGCTCCTAACTCCCGTGCCGCAGTTTCAGCCGCAGGGACCCACTCTCTTCC